AAAAACGAAAATTCCCGGTACTTTTTGAACAGACCTCGTATATTTATTGTGGTTGAAAAGGCCATAAAAGCTCTTCAACTTTCTATTATACCCAAACTTATATTTTTTCATAAATAACTCTGAATTACTTAATTTGTGAAAACAATTAATCACTACATAAATACATTTTCAAGAAACATTTTCAGAAAGCCAATTAATCAACGTCTAATTGAATATAATCAACAAATACTTTCCATAAATATCGCTTGACACGCATATAATGAATCTTAATCAAAATTCTTGATCTCGTTCAAAGTAATGTACACTAATGTAATTCTAATTACTAGTTATAAAATATCAACCACATGCTAAGATATGGCTTAGAATGTAGACTAATTGAAATTAAACCTGAACGATTGAACTATTTTTAATACTCTAGATTACATTTCTTTTATACTCGAAATTATGCGATTTTTTTTAACTACTAAGATATTCAAGTTGTATAATAAATTAATATCATCTATCAATTTGCATTTATAAATATGCACGAAGACTTGATATACAAGAATAAGACAATCTTGATAGAAGTTCGAGCGATTTTTCATGATGATCTATTGTCTACAATAAAAATTATCGGGGATGTAATAACAATTAAATTAATAACTAATATATAAAGGACAAATACATAATATATTCATACTGAGCCATAAATGAATTTTAATAAAAATTATTATTTTAATCAGGTGTGATTGACGAGGACATGGAAGTTGGAAAAAGGTTATGGATTGATGAGTATATTCAAATGCATAAAATTTATAAAAAAAATAAAAAATAGTCTCAAGTTTCACAATGTTCAGTATATTTTCAGAAAATACACCTTAATAAAACTAAAAATATAGCAATTTGATATTGATCTTATTACTAAGCCACCGGCATGCGTGGTTGAAAAATTTAAGCAAGTTTGCATTAAAAGTTATTTATTTTTGATGATATCGTTTATAGGGTTTTATTTCAAAAATTTGAAATTACAAGAACTCGGTTTTGCAAAGTCCCGTTATGTATAATACTCATTTTTGAGATCACTCCACACCAGGAAAATGATTTCTCATTTTATATGTATCATACCTAATTAAATTTATTGCGTTTATTATGTAATGTAATTTATGTTAATTTATGTAATGTAATGAGTTTATGTTAACCAAAGAAGTAAATATAAGCAATATAATTTTAAATCTTAAAAAATAAAACCATCTGACAAAGATTGACGAATATGCTCATGTCTCGATTCAAGCCGAAATACACAAAAAGGAGACTGTTCGCACTTTTCAATGAAGACTTTAAATGGTATAGTAATTAACTGTCGTTCTGCTATCTAAATGTGTAGTCAAACATATTACTTATTAGCGACTTGTTTTCATTTCATAATTTACTACTCAAAAGCCTAACATTACATTTTATCGAACTAGATTCAGGTCCAGCACGAGTCAGATGCACTTTTAAAATAATCAATTCCGGTAACCTTGAACAAGAGTCACACAGTTCTTCCATCAGCCTCGATTTACCATGTATAAATCACGTGTTGTTTATTGCTAGCCATTTATCAATCATTTGCTAGTTTTTTTTATTTATTTTTTAGTTTTATTACTTTATTTGCAGTTAATTACATTTTGCTGGAGCCTGAGGATTTTTAATGAATTTCAATAATAAGCTAGATAATTTATTGCTGATCATGAGATCAGAAACAGAAAAAAAAATGCGATATGAAATTCGAGGTAAATTATGCGAGAAAGTCAATGTGATTTAGTAACAACTAGATTAATCACTAAATTTAATTGAGTAAAACTATTTTCGAAGAAGTTTAGGTAGAATTGTATTGAAAAAAATATTTTCGAATTGCCAAAAAATGAGAATCATCAGTAGTTATTTAAATTTGTTTCATATTTTTCATTTCAACATCATATTCTCACTTTTTATTTAATGATTAGTTAATTCACATACAAGTACTTTTAAGCGCACTGCCTTGTGTTGACAGGATTGTGAGTTTGAATCCCCTTTTTAGAAAACCTGATATCATGCTGTAGTGATATCAAATGGTAGACCAAAGATAAGTTTTCAATTGACAAAAAGTTTATTTCGGGTGAAATGGTAAACCTCTAACTATTCATCCCTTTTACCAGTTCTGACCAGTACTAGGCCTGATACTATTGAGAAAAATCAAAATCATATTGAGAAAATGTCGTAAATAAGTATTTGCAAATCTAGCATAGCCTTGATATTGGAATTTATTATGCATGTCTTACATAAAGCTTAAAACCAGTACATGAAAAGTAAAAACAAAATAATTTCACTCGCGGTTATTCTAAATGTTACATGGGCTAGCACTCATTGGAAACTTGTTCTTGCGTTTTATGAAGTTCCTGTAAGATAAGTTATTAAATTTATTTTATTTCTTTCTAGATAATCTTATTATAACGAATCTTAAAACATATTGTGGGCGTGTAATATGTATACGATTGCGTGAATCTACCATGTTTTCTGAATCTCTAAATTCAAATTGGATGGTTCTAATATTCTAAATACACATTAAGATTTTAGCTAAGACAGGTCACCAGCTTTGGAGATTATTATGACTACCTCTGGACCGATTTTATACACTGATGAACATGGTTTATATTAAAGTTATGTATGTAAAGCACCCATGCAATACAAAACAACAGATTTAATCTGTGCTGAAATTAATGTATGCATTTTATAATCTTTGAAACAAATTGTGACTAAAACGTAGTTATTCGGAAACAGTACTTCAATCTTTCGAATATTTTTTTGTTTTCTAATAAGGCAAATTTGAGTTTCTAGAAACATAATTATATAAAGCGACGTATGATAAGGACGCAAAATAAGAAAAACGTTTGATATTATCGACTCGGATGCCAGAGGTACTTGGACCGAATCCTGGCAATGTGTAAAAAAATTACATACTTGTAATATTAAAAATGAATTACAATATTGAACAGATTTGATTTCGTAATATAGAGTAAAATTTTTATAAAAATTAATATACTCGCAAATAGAAATCGAAATATGTAAAATCGATATAATATGTAGAAGTCAGTGTAGAATAAAATGTATATATATATATATATATATATATATATATATCAAGCATAACTTGATTCTCGTGTGTTGAAATCAAGTAAATTCTAATATATAATTTTCTCTTCTTCATTAATCCGCTTAGAATATTTTAAACCGATTATGAGATGCGACATCAGTTGCATCAGAAACCGTTAATTGTGGAATAACCTTGTACTCTGTCTGTACTTGGTAATATCCATCATCAAATCAAGACTTAGTTCCAGTTTGTTAGCCATCTTAATATAATATTTCTTACTCAGCATTTTCGTCCCTGACTCGGACATATGACACATGAACGAAAGTTATATTTAATTATAGATAATAACCGCAGAAAACTATAGTTCTTGGAATGCTTTTGTCACACGGTATGCGTTCTGAAGGAAACGTTTTTCTTACGTTAATAGTATCACGATCCACTTCCCTATTTCTTATTGATTAACTATGCGTTGTCTTTAGAAGTTTTACGTTCTATACCCTCTTCGGACAGCCTGGTGTCAAGCTGGAGTGATATCGGTTTTCACGAAACATAGATAGTAGCATGTTTTCAAATAAAAATAACTCTAGCACTCTGGAATCGTCTTTGAAGAGCCTGTTGTGATGCAGTAGTATATGTTTCCAAGTGAAAACAGCCCTAATAGGCATTGCTGCACCAATAGAAAGTCATCACTATTACAATAATTGTAATAATAAAATTCATCATATAAAGATGAGACAACTTTTTGGGTTGCCATCTATAATAACGTAGTTTGTAAGAAATTCATCACAACAGCTCATAGAACCTATAAGTTCTGATCGCTGTTCAAATAAATACAAACAAAAAAAAAGCAGGATGTATAACTATTTGAATTGAATTAAAGATTAAATAGAATAAAAAAAAATTTTGAAATGTAACTAAAAACTACATAACATGATTATAATTTCCAGAATTTGTCCAAGCAATTGAAATATCTTCTAATATATAAACACCCTTAACATTACTTGCACTACTTCTACTATTGAGTTTATGCCTTTTACCTGATACAACTAATATTTAGTCATTTTGAAAGTAGTTTTTAAAAAAAACTTAATATTTTAGGTTGCTTAATATATTTTTTGTAAATTTGAAATACTATATAATAGTCAACGACAAGTTGCTGGAATTTGTATATTTGTCATACATATAAATTAGAAGGTAAACTATTCAAATTGAAATTTTTAAAGAAACCAAATTATATTCTGAATTATTAAGTGGTTTATAATATTCTGAAGTTAAGACTGTATAAAATAAGAAGTTGTAAGTGGCATTTTGTCACCGTAAATTACATGAACTTCTCGAAATGTCGAAATAATATAGTTATTCAATAAGAATTAAGATTTAGCTACTGAAATAATATAATATCTATTTTCACTGTTTATTTTTGTTTTTCATAAACTATTATTACTTTCTTACTTTGACATGTATAACATGTTAATATTTCGTTGAATTTAATTAATTTTATATACCTATGCTTACAAAGCAGAAAAATGTAATAAATTTTCAATTTTGTGAAATATTATTCATCCAATATCTTACTTCGTGATTGCAAATATAATATACTCGTTATGAACTCGATTTGGGCGACACAAAAATGTGCGCACTGTTTGAAGTGTGCGCCACAGTTAAATAGTAAAAGAAAACAAAAAGTTTTACTGGTTACAAGAGACTAAATCCAAACTAAGCTCATACAACAAGCTACTTTTATATAAATCTTTATTCAAACCAATTTGGTGCTGTGGTATACAATTGTGGGGCAGTACTCATAAGACTAATATAGAAATAATACAGAAGTTTCAAAACGAAAAGAGCTCCAAAATATGTTACCAACTGGTTGGGTCATGTCGACACGAATACACCTACCATAAATAAAGTAATAACAAAAACAGCACATAAGTATAGAAACAAGCTCATCAGTCACCCAAATTCATTAGCATACTCCTTGATAACAGAGAACTATCCAAGAAGATTGCAAAGAAAAGCGCCACTGGATTTAAGTCATCAACTCTCCTGATAAAAAATGGAAATAACTTAATCATTATTTATAAGAAAATATTTTATTAGCAAATATTTAAAATTATATAATTATCAATAATATATTGTTAATATTATATCGAATGGAAAAGCAACTACTGAGTTGTTTTTCCAACATGCCCCAATAGTATACAATGTCCCTTTACTACCGACTATTGCAAATTCCTCAAATTTATTAAATATCTTTAACTGGACAGTTGTAAATAAAAGAGATAATAAAAAAAATCTTATTGTTTGCGTAGTTTAAAATTTCAGTAACATTTTATAATATTTGATTCAAATACAGTAGAACCTCGTTTATCCGGACCTCAGCTATGTGCATACTTACAATTCGAACTTTTGCGCGATTAATGCTGCAATTTAGTATACGAGGTCTGTTCAAAAAGTACCCGGAATTTTCGTTTTTTCAAAAAAATAATTATTTATTCGTCTACATTAATGTGGTTCCCTTCAAAGTAGTCCCCCCCAGATATAATACACTTATGCCAGCGTTTTTTCCAATTTTCGAAGCACCCTTGATATTCACTTTTTGATATGTCCTTGAGCACTCTCAGCGATTTTCTTCAATCGAGGAAAACCGCCGTCCTTTCATGGGTCTCTTCAACTTTGGGAATAGGAAAAAGTCACACGGAGCCATATCTGGTGAATTTTTGCACTTTGCAACACTTTATTTCATTTTTTACGCAAAATTTAATACAAATTCTTTGACTTTTCAATTCTTCCATTGTAAAAATCGCCGAGCTCTGAAAAACACGTCGAACCTTAGCGACTACCACAGACAAAGTAAACAGTGAATATAGCTGAAAATTTCATCATACTTTAGGGGCATGTATACCAACACAATAAAAAAAAAATTTGACAATCAGACACTCCAGACCCGCGAAATTTAATTATTAGTAATTCCGGGTACTTTTTGAACACACCTCGTATGTATGTAATGTAACCTAAGAAAATATATATGTACATGCATAATAAAGTTTCAGTTTCTTAATAAAAATTATTTTCGTTGATATCTTTGTATGTATTTGTTATATTTTAAAAAATATACATTATTATTTATAAATTCGATTATCCGGATTTTCGATTATCCCAATGCCTTTCCAGAAAAATTAGTTCGGTTAATCCAGGTTCTGTACTATATTTTCTAAATACTAGGATTATGGTAATAATTAAAATATTTACCGGCATTTTACGTTATTCATCCGCTGATACTCTAAGAAAAGGACTTTAACGTTTATGATTATATAATTTTATAATTTTTTTTTATCTTGCAGCGATACCAGTTGGAAATTGGTCACCTCCGTCTGATATAGACTACAATGAAAGATTTCGATGGGGCGGAGCGGGCGAGATGGAGGACAGCTACGAAGCGGCTTTACGACGAGGATTGCCCTATCCTGTCCTTACGGTCGCTGAATACTTCTCGCTGGGACAAGAAGGATTCGCTTGGGGAGGGCAATATAGAGCTGCGGGATATTATGCTTCGATTTTACTTGGGTAAATATATTCACTATTAAAATATAAATAAGGGGCCTTCTATTAATGATGTACGGCTTAAAAGAGGAGGGCTAATAAAAAATCTCTAAATATCGCAAGTGGTAGGGGGGAGTTGTTAAGTTATCATGTTCATTTATTTATTGCCTGAATTTTCAAAAAATATTTTTTTTAATTTACAATTTCTTCCTTTTTTTAATTGATCATATTAATACACGGTCCTTATGTATAAAAACACAATTAAGTAAGTCTAATTTTTAAGGGGCACAACTAGTGTAACCGCCTAAAAAAAGGTGATTTTTGGGAATTTATATTAAAAAAACTACTTTATCAATCATTTCAAAATTTTAGGAATATATTTATACATATTTTAAGAATACATAGTTGAAGAAAAAAATTAAATATTTTTTAAGTTATCGTCGATCTCCAACGGCGCGACAAAAAAAGGCCCTTCACTGCTGCAGTGAGTCTGGCCTTCTACGTGGATGAAATTTTAATAAAATTCTTTTTCGTTAAACTAGATAATATTGTCTGTAAAATGAACTACCATAAAGAAAAAAAAATCAAAAATTGACAAAATGACGGCGTTTTTTTTTTTAAAAAAGTCGAATTTTACCCAAAATTTTGGTCGTTTTTGGACTGCCATAATTCGATTTTTGATCCGATCAAAAAATCGATAATTCATTTTACGAAGAACTATATATAGAATATGTAAAAAAAAATTGATAGTGATCGGATCATTTGTTTTTGAGTAATCGCTGCAGCAAATTCGGAAAATGCTGTTTCGAGAAAAACGCGTTTAAAGATTAAATGATCGTTGTACTATATACACGTATGCTATATATACGTACTATATATACATATACTTTAAATGGCTGTAACTCAAAAACTATTTAAGATATCGATTTAAAATTTTGGTATGTTATTTTTAAAGGTATAACTTATCAAAATATGGAAAAATTGAAAATTCGGTTTTTTGAAAATTTCACACTAGTTGTGCCCCTTAAGACTTAGATGTTGAGATATATAATTGTATCTAGTTGCTGTTCCAAATAAATTGAATTTTTATAATTTATTTATTTACTAATATAGTAATTCTGACATAAGGTGTAAAAACTTATTATAAAAATCAATTAACCAAATGTTATAACGCATAAATTAAAAAATAAGTCGATAATACTGAGTTAAAATTAAAGATATTGTATCGATAGTAGCAAAATTATGTAGTTTTGGTTATTATAATATTTTATATATATTGCTAATATCTAATAACAAAATCTTCAAATTTCATCATCCAAAATATATACAAAATCTATTTTACTTGATATTGACAATAGAGACAATAGTCTTTATGCAATAAATGACCTTTGATGTCTGTTCTTCCACATATTTATTGAATCTTGTAAATAAATAGATTCACAAAAATCTGATTATCAACAATCAACATATTTGTAATATGTTGATTGTCATTTCGTTTCCTGGAAGTTTCAATTTGCAGATTTAATTAAAATAATTCAGAATAGTTCAATAAAAATTGCATAAGGTGTGTGTGGAAAGTGAACAAAACTTTCACTATACGTTTTTGCGAAAACCACTGCATAGATTTAAGAAACATAATTTTCCATTCATGTGTTTTCAAAAATTTCAAACCTTCAGCTACATATCGATTTAGTATTATTTTTTATTAATATTTCATTTGCTTAAACAAGTTTCGTTTCGCAGTAGCATTCATTTAGTTAAAGACATTTTTTTTACCTTAGTGCAAATTTAAGAAGTATTTGCTATATTTGAATTCTTGTTCATCAACTTTCTTACAACGGAAATCATTTTAAAAGAAAAATGCCACTTGCAATACTAAGCCTTACAATCAGTAAAAGTAACATATTAGGTTGTTAGTATATAGGAACATCACAAGCAACCATTTGGAACACAGTCTAAGTTGTTTTTCTCACAATTCCGGGCGTTACTTTTAATTTTGATGTGATTTTATGTAAATTTTAAAGTTTCGCGTTACGTTTTGTTTCTATTTATAGCCCATGATTGATATATTTTTATGAAGTATTGATACCTATCCTAAAACAATCTCAATAATTTGACTTTATTGTACTTTTACTCTTTATAAATATTGCTTTATTAATCTAATATTTTTTCAAGTACGGCATTGGCGTGTTGGCTGCTCATGAACCTGCTCCTGGTTGCTGTCCCGCGATATGGAGCCTATTTGATGTTTACGACTGGGCTTTTATTGGCTGCCACGGATTTGGGCTACTATCTGATGTTGCCAGCAAGGCCTCTACGAATTGTACTTGAAGGCGGAGCGCTCGATTTTCGATTAGGATGGTGCTTCTGGCTGGTCTTAGTTGCTGGTAAATACTGAAAAAAATTGTAAAACATATTTTTATGTTCACTTATTTTGTTTCGCTGACAATTGAAATTTTTTTCAATAGTCTGATGCAAAGTAGAGTAAGTCAAATTTCTGCGACTTCTCAATTTAAAAATTAGGGTCTCATTGTGCCTCAAGATAAATTACTAAAGCTTCCTAGCATCTAATTATAAATTGCATAAATCAACACATAAAAACCCAATATTAATGATCAGTATTGACATTATAATAAAAAAGCGATATTATTAACTTTTCCAACTAAGCATTGTTTATTATGCAAATATTTATTAACTTCCAAAGAAAAAGACCTTGAGAATATGTGTAAATATATAGTTTATCGAAATTAACATAAATATTGTTTGCAATGTTATCAGGATATTGGGTATGATATATTCGTTTCCTATATATTTTAACCTACTTCGAGCAGCCTGTTTTCAAGCAGTAGTGACATAAGTTTTCACTTGGAAATATAGATAGCTATATGTTTTCAAGTGAAAATAGCCCTTACCCGGCATTGCTGCAGCAATAAAAAATAATCGACACATTTGGGTTGCCATTTATAAAAAAATCGCTGTTTATAAAAAATTCATCTCAACAGCGTATAAGACCCTTAAGTTATGATCGACATATTTAACAAAAATATTTAATTAGTTCAAAAAATTACATTAGAGCATTATAGAATACCTTATTTGCCTCATTTACTCACATTGATCAGCATATATGTGGGTACTATCACAATTTACCATAATCCTCATGGTCATGATTTTAATGAAATATGGTAATAATTGACAATTTGAACTCTTTATTAATTGCATAACTCCGTTGTTGGAAACGTGACAAATTATGCAGGTACATGTGTAATAATATTCTACATCATGATTAACTACGAGAGACGTTATATAAAGTTAATTTACTTAATAATTGATAGAATCTGGAATTGAGTTAATTGACTACAATAATTAAATCATAACATTATTTTCTTGTGCAATATTCATTACGATTAAAACTTTTGTGCTCGGTTGCATAATAAATTAGCGCAAAGTAATGATATGGGAATAATATAGTAATATTTTATTCGCAAATGCGCTTCGACAAAGTACTATAATAGATCTTATTGAAAATATATTCCATTGTATATGTAATAAACATAAGTTGTTTTGAAATAAATAAAACATGTTATATGGCGAACAACATTTATAGTGAACAAAAACATTTAACAGTCAGTACCTATGGATATTTCATTAGATTTAATTGATTTAAATTTAAAATGTCATTTGTAAAGCTTTAATTATAATTGTTGACCGAGAAAAGAACTCGAAATTATTTTTAGAAATTTATTAACAACAATTGAATTTGTTTTTTATTATATATCGTTTTTTAAATTTTTACAAAGAACATAATATATTAATTAATCACACAAACAATTATTTGTGTAAATCAGTAGTCGGGGAACCGAAGTAAATTACATTAAATAAGGTAAATATGGAATTTTTGGAGTAAAAAGTATGTATTTTTCATTGATATTCACAGTATTTGCTACGTAGTTGTCCGTATGGGGGTAATCTCCTTTCGTCATGGAGATTACCTCTACGACGAAGTTCCTTCATGTCGTCTTAGACAAAAATATTTTGGGGTAATGATTAAAAAAGTTCCCCAACCTTGGTTTAGATGGAACAGGTGCTTTCTTATTCTCTGTAATATTTCATAAAATCTAATATAACTATTACTTACATGGTTAGTTACCACGTTTATCAAATTATCTACATATATATAAAAATAAGTCGGGATATAACTCCAGAACGTACGAATCGATTTCGACAATTTTGCATTCGTTGGAAAGGTCTCGGGCTTCGCAAGGTTTATAGCTAAGAAAATTGAAGAAAAATTTCAACAGAAAAGCGGAAAAATGATTTTTCACATACAGCGTCATCTCTGATGCTTAGTATGTACTACAAATCAATATATTAAGTAGATGGTGCCGGTAGATACATTGTTTGACAGCTACTCATTTCCTTTTTCTTTTCAAATATAAAGCAAAAAAAAATTTCTTCATCTTTCTCACGAAACCATCTGGTAGCGAAACGGAGTTCGCTGGGTTTGTTAGTTTTTTATAAAAGTATATAATTTTTGTAAGATAAATATATTTTAACAATAGAATAAATAAAACCGATTCAATTATAGGTAGGTACTAGTGATTTCGCAATACATATAATTAGTTGCATTCAAGAATTTCAAATACAGATAGGTCAGCAGACTAGTTGAAAGTTAGATAGTTAGATAGTTGCGCCGATTAGAACTGTATGCAGTTTGATATTAAATATCAGGGTATCAATAGCATCCATATAATATATAAATATAATATATATTTCAATTCATCAGCCATTTCGTTATGCAAGCGTTCTAAAAAATTATACCAGGAAAAGCAAAATACACAATTAAAACATTTCTTTAATTGAAAGTTTAATTAATGATCAACACCGAAACATAACCACCATAGTAGAATAAAAAATAAAGATTATAAATTCCAAATAAGAACGATTCTTGATTTATTGTTACTCAAATCGAACTTTTTATGTTTAATTATAATTATATTTTTATTTAATTAAACAGCGGAATTGTATCCTATTACAAAAATAAAAAATATGTATATGTATTTTTAGTTTCTAAATGTTTAGTTTTTAATTTTATTTGTAGTTTCCACTGAATGAAGGCTAAGATTATAGCCGAAACGTATGGATGTAAAAATTTTTTTTGAAGAAATTCATGTTTTTTTATTGATGTTATGCCCGATTACTAGACCTAATATATATATAATAATAATAATATTTTGGCATTTAGGGATCAAAATAAGATACTTTGCTGAAAAAACCATACCTCTAAAATGAATTATGATGTCTCGTGCATTGACCCAAAGATAGGGATTGAATTTTGAAAAATTTCGTTTTAATCTATTTGGAGTGTTCTAATCGCATCCAAATGTATAACAAACCCCAACTAACTTTGGAAGGCTGATCCACCCATGCCTATGGTTCACGACTTGGGACCTCCCCTTAAAGGTCTTCCATATAAATATTGCAAAAAATCATAATTTTTGGTATTTTATTCAGCAAAAAATGTTGTTTTAAACAATTTTTTTCAGATATTAATTTAAATACAAACAAAAAAAATGTTTACAAAAAAAATATCAATATTCTTCTTTGTTCCAATTTGTTCAATGCATTTTGTCTCTGCGTTTCTATGCTATCTAGAGGCTATGCTATCTAAAGACGACGATATTATAGAGCCGTGCAAAATTTTCCAGTCTTTAAACTAAAAATTACTTCAAACGATAGTTACTGAGTTTTGGATAGTTTTATTTACATATCTTATGATTAAATAAATTTTATAATAAAAATAAATCGCAGATTTTTATACCCATTTTTATACATTTTTATATATGTTGAAGTACCCAAAATGATGCTACTTTTGTATGGGGGACCTCTAAAGGGAGGTCCCAAGGGGTGAACTATAGACATGGGTAAATCGGCCTTTCAAAGTTACGGGGCGTCGGTCATACATTTGGACGTTATTGGGGCGATCTAAATGAGCCAATACATGATTTTTCAAAATTTGATCCAATCTTTGGATCAATGCACGGGACATCAGAATTCATTTTAGGGGTATAGTTTCTTCGGCAAAGTATCTTATTTTGATCCCTAGTATACGAAAATCATATGTGCCTATGTGACTTTTTTTTACCCATGCAAATCGACACGTCCTAATATATATATATATATATATATATATATATATATATATATATATATACATATACATATACATATGTATATGGTATATATATTTGGAAGACCCTAATGTACGTATTATTTATAACTCGAAGTCGGTCATCGTTCTTTAATATTAATTAAATATTGTTCCAAACTTGTAGTACAACTGGTAAGGGATCGTTCAAGTATTACGTAAGCAGATTTATTACAATTATTTACCCCCCCCCCTCCTCTTTGTCAGCAAAAGTAAGCAAATTTCGTACCAAAAATAAGCAAATCAATAACTCCCCCGCCCCCCTATAGTGCTTACGTAATACTTGAATGGCCCCTAATACAAATATAATTACCTTTGCCAATTTTTGCTCGTGTATAATATGCTTTTTTATATACAGGAAGTATATGCTCATTTTCCGGATTAGTAATAACGTGCGTGGATTTGGCATTTCCTCACCGATTTTCGACTGTTCTTGAGGTGTACTATGATACTCCTTACGATCGGCACGTTATATTGGAAGAGAGCCACGACACGCGCTACAGGAAACGCAACAGTGGCGGCAACGGCGGCCTGGAAGATCCACCGGGATTTGGCTCCAGAATACTCAGGTACTCGGCTTAACTGGCCAAACAGATGATTTTCTTTTTGCAATACGTCTTTGCTAGTTGATTGTATTATAAAAGTTTAAATCATTGCAGCAAATTATTGTATAATAGAAACTATTTAACTTTTCAAAGCAGATTTGCTAATTTTATGTTTTTTTCGAATCAAATCAAATCAAACTTGAAAAAAGTATATGCATATGTATGTTCTCAAACACGGCTGGACCGATTTCATTTCAACATTTAAAAGCCATTCGATATAGCTAGATAAATATTGGCGTTTGTCAGTTTTGTGTGACGATCGGCCAAGGCGTTTCTTTGTAATTAGCAGGAAAAATAATCTTGTCCATTTTCTAAGTGGATAAATTTGAATTCTAGAAGTTGATAAAGTGGGAGGCTCAAAAAATTGGCACCTGACCATAACCATGATATCACTTCTTCAAATAATCTTAAAATTAAATTTTTTACAAAATAGCTACTGTTTGAAAATAACATTCAACAACTTTTTTTTTTAATGTTCTTTTAATCTTTTAATGCATATAGTAACGAAAAAGACAGTTTCCAGAAAAGCGTGTTTAAAGTTTCGCTTAAGAAACAAAGGAGGATATTTGTGGTCAAACAGATACATGCTCGAAAATAATTTAAACTTGAAAAAATTTGTTCTACAAACTAAGCTGAACAAAAAACTGATCAACAAATAAGCTTTGAAAACAAACAAAAAACCAGTGGGGTGTGTGGCATCGTGCCTTAAGGCAAATTGCTGGAACTTCCCGTACCGTAAAGAAATGTTCGAGGAATATTGAATGTTTTCAAATAGATTATTATAAATATTGTAACATTGTCTAATATTTATAAGAATTATATAAACTGAATTGCAAAGTTGAAATTATTTGTTTAAAGTATATTAGAACTTTAGTCAGAATTAAATAATTTCTGAATTATTTTCGATATACAAAAAATTTTTTTTTGAAAAAAAAAATGAAAAGAAAAATTTGAAACAATTTTTTTCCCAAAATCAATTATTTTGTTAAAACGAGCAGAATTTTTTTTTTTTGAATCATTTAAATTGGACGTTTAATTCTTTCAAAAACTGCCATTTTTGCACATTTAGCTCGGTATCTTCGAAATGGCTGGGTTTGCCTTTGCCAAAAACTAATAAACATTTCTCCCAATCATTACAAATTGAATGTTTTTTAGATCATTCAAATCGGATGCTCCGTTTTCTCAAAAACTCGATTTCTATTTTCTGCGCTCTTTGCTTTTTATCTCCGTAACTGCTGGACCTGCCTTTGCCAACAACTATTCAGCACGTCTCCCTATCAATAGGAATCGAATGTATTTTGAACCATTCAAATCGGTTGATCCGTGCGCCCGAAAACGTGGACGAAAATTGTATCCATACATACATACACACACACACATTCACTTTTTCTGAGGTATGCCAAAATGTTCAGAAACCTTCAAAACGTCGAGAAATTCCAAAATTTTCAATTTCGATTTTTGGACGATTACAACAACTTACCCTACGGGAAGTTAATAGGATCCATTTAAAAAAAATCTTAACCAGAATATTTTTTAAGGTTGCTTTAAATAAGTATCAACAACCAGATGAATGATTCTTAATATGTTAATCGATTGTTTGAAAAATTTGTGTGAAAAAATATAATTTATTTCTCTCGATCCTTTTCTCATTAGACGTTTGTCTTCAAAAACGCGAGAACATGGGGCGGCAACCGATCGATACGGAATCGACAATCATGCCTTCCAGCCGACAGAGCCTCCAAAGTCTCCTTGGCGGTATCCATTTAGGAGGACTCAGATAGCAAGCGCCGCCGGAAACAGACAACGGACAGGATCCCAAGATTCTGCAAGCAGCGCGACGTCCTCTACGGCGACTCCCGCAGGGAATATTGGACAACCTGGTGTACATAGGGCTCCCATTAACAGGCTTGTACAGTAAGTCCGAATTAAGTCGAAATGAATAATTCAATTTGAAAATTTGAATTTTTGAATTAGTTTGAAAAAAATATTCTGGAATTTTTACCATGTTTTGTATAAAAAATATTTAATAATTGTGTGGCATTGGCAATGCGAATTAGAAACGTCGTAAATTCTTTTAAGTAGGGAAAGTTTATCCCATCTTTTCAAGGAAGCAAATTTAATTTAAGGGGGTTGTTCTTTTTTTATTTATTTTTTTGTTTCGGTTTTGAGATTTTTAGATTTTATGAAAGCTAAAAACCTTAGAATTATTTAAAAAAAAATCATCTCAATATCTATTTTATTGACGAAGTTATAGATATATATATCTTTATACATATGATCCTCTGAAAGCGTTTTTTTATCGTTCCGCGAGCTATTGTATGCCAGCTGCCTCTTTTTCATTATAATACCTCATGCCCATGACCTTTTTAATGCGTCAGCATCTTTGAACACCATGGTGTATTTCGTACATTAAATTAAATGGTGTATTTAGTACATTATGTTAAAAACTTAAAATACGTTTTTCTTCAAATTGACTTTTTTTCAATGCAGTGCCACACATTAAAAAAAAACTACAAGTCAGATCGACTTGCATTTTTTTTAATTTGTTCACTACTGCAATACCTAGTCCCCCGACCTCAAACATCTTGATAACATTACGCAAAAGAATTTTGCGAACCTTCTCGTCCCAAAAAAGAGCTTTTTTGACACTTTTTTTTTTAAATAGCTGCCATTTTTTCCTTCTTGCTTTTTTTCTTTCATTTTGGTAGGGGGGCTGGATTCAAACTTCTTCTTCAACTTAGTTTCTTTTTTTTTGTTTCGGGCGATGCGCAACGGATTTATCTATGGCACCGCAAAAGAGATCGATTTTGCAAGACCGACTTTGGCGCCCCCTGGTTAAAAAATGATAGCGCAAAAAAAGAAGAAAATTGAGTAATATTCTATGATTTTGTAATTTTCGTTTAAAAAAAACCTCTATGATAAATACATTTCGAGAAAAACAAAAACAAATACCTTGCATTTTTTGTAAAAAAAAGAACAGCCCCCTTAAATTAAACAATTGTTGAATGAGTTTTTAATACATTTTTTCAGCCAAAAAAAAGACAAAACCATATTGTATAGAGATCATATTCTTTGGGTTTTTTAACTAATTATTCAATATGTATTGTTTCCTTATTTTGACCTTCTAAGAAGTATTAGTTTTGTTAAAGTTCTACAGTTGTTAATTATCAAGGTATCGCTTT